AATTGCCATAGGTCTAGACATTTCTTATATGAGGTATGACCCAGAAAGCTTACATGAGTAACCTGAAGACAGAGCAATTCGAAATGCTTAGGGCCAGTGGCTGAAAAAGATGACCAATCATTAAGAGAAAACAGTATTTAAATAGGACAACCCCACCCCCATCCTATATAATAAAAGGGTAATATGCAAATAGACCAAAAGGCAGAATAACCGAACTACCAAAAAAAGCGTAATATGCTAATGATATGCTAAGGCTGCTCAACCGCTCACTATGATGTGCACTGACCACCAGAGGGCAGATGCCCCGACTGGTAGGTTAGCTTGCTGCTGGGGTCTGGCCAATTGGGACTGAGCAAGACAGGCCAGATACGCCCTGGAGCCCTCCCACGTTCCCTCCCTGGCCCCGAGCATGCACTGGTGGGGTCCCTCAGCCTGGCCTGCACCCTCTCGCAATCCAGAAACCCTTGGGGGATGTTGGAAAGCCGGTTTCAGCCCAGTCCCGCAGCCACTCCCCTTGGGAGGGCACCAGACGCAGGGCTCATGACTGGTGAGCGCTGCTGTGGCTGTGTGAGCCTCTCCCAATAGGGACTGATTGGGTGTGAGCCCACAGGTAGGCACATGGGGCCGGGATAAGCAGAAGTGGCAGGTAGCAGCTGCAGGCAGCATTGGACTGCGGGTTTTGGCCCGATCCCTGCAGGCCACCCAGAGGGACCCCACCCGTTTACGAATTTGTGCACCGGGCCTCTGGTACTAATATAATGTGATTAGTTATAGCTGTGTCCAAGATAACAGTTTAATCACTCCTTCTGGTTCTTCTGGGTAAATTGGGACCAAAAGCCTCTTTAGTTAATATAAATTGTCTTGAATGGGTGGACCATCTGGTTACAATTTGGGTTTCATCTCTGTTATGCAACTGGCATCCAAAAGAGGACTGTCTCCAAATGGGAGTAGGCTGAGTCAGTCATAAACAAGCAAAAAGAAGTTTAACTTTTTATTGCTAATATCCAAGATGTTAGAAGATGAAGTACTGCATGAAATGGTGTTGCCTTTAGGTAAACTTCCTTTACCTTATGTGTTTTACCTAGAACAGTGGTCAGCTAACTTTCCTGTAAAAGGCCAGATAGTAAATATTTTTGGCTTCACAGTGATATATGGTTTCTGTTGCATATTTGTCATTGTGGTTGTTTTTTTGTGTGTGTTTTTTTTAAAATCCAACCATTTAAGCATGTGTTTTCTAGAGCCATCATGTTGAGGGCCATGTTGCTTCCAGGGGTTGGAAAAAACACACTAGGCAAAGAATTTGCATCAAATTCAGGATTGAAATACATTAATGTAGGCCAGTGGTTGGCAAACTCATTAGTCAAAAGAGCCAAATATCAACAGTACAACGATTGAAATTTCTTTTGAGAGCCAAATTTTTTAAACTTAAACTATATAGGTAGGTACGTTCAACTTTAAATTCAACTTTAAATTCACGGTTTTTGTCTTCCATTTTTCTTTGCTTCTTCTTTGTAGCCATCTCAAACAGGGCACCTAAAAAAAATGTTTCATTTTATAATAATAAAGCCACCAACACAAAAGAATTACAATTCTTAAATTGATGACAAAAATACCTGTAGGATTTGCAGCTGGTTGGAAAAATACAGGTAACTTTATGCTTCGAGTAGGTACTTTGGTCACCTGTGCGCAATTTGTGGACGCAACTAGCACTAACCCCACTGCACATGAGACTGCTGACTGACTGGCTCACTCAACTCGTGCATGAATCGTACGCGCCTCCCCCGCCTGTGCTGCGTCTCCTGTCGCCTGACTGACCGACACCCCCCACTTCTTCTAATGCTACTTCTTCAAAATAGACTCGCCCAGGCCGAAAACCGACTTCTGCGCATGGGCCACGAAGTTTCAGTCACACTCTATGTGCACGCCCGCATGTGGCATTTTGTGGGAGAGCCACACTCAAGGGGCCAAAGAGCCGAATGTGGCTCATGAGCCGCGGTTTGCCGACCACTTGATGTAGGCAATTTAGCTCGAGAAGGGCAGTTATATGATGGCTGTGATGAAGAGTAGGCTTGTCCCATTTTAGATGAAAATAGAGTAGTTGATGAGTTAGAAAACCAAATGAGTGAAGGTGGAATTTACTGTAGACTACCACAGTTGTGAATTCTTCCCTGAATGCTGGTTTCATACAGTTTTTGTGCTGGAAACAGATAACGGTGTATTGTGCAAAAGACTTGACACAAGGGATTTATAGTGAGAAGAAAATAAAGGTAACACTCAATGTGAAATTTTTCAAATTCTGTATGAAGAAGCATTGGCATCCTACAAGGAAGAAATAATGCATCAACTGCCCAGCAATAAACCAGATCTAGAGGATAATATCAATCAGATATTGAAGTGGATTGAGGAATGGATCAAAGAACAACGCTCTTCGCTTACAGGACTGGACACTTGAAACTCTAATATTCCTCTGCCCACATCATATAAATTGTCCAGATATGAATAAAACTTTTTATTAAAATTGTGCTGCAGAACTAATAGTGGATAGTTTGGGTGTTTTTTGTTTTTATTTTCATAGGAAAGCAAAGCAATCTCAAGTATAATGAATACAGTGTTATTAAAGATTGAGAATAAAAGCTGTCATTGTTGAATGCTTTGATTGCTAAAGAATAAATAAATCTGACCAAATGGATAGATGGATAATCTTTTAAGTTTACTACAGAAGAAAATGAACATGATCTCTTAAAATTCAAGTCTAAAGATTTTTTTAAAAGTGTTTTCTTTTACCATATTTCCTTTTTAAAAAAAAGTTTATTGATTTTTTTTTTTTGAGAGGAAGAGAAACAGAGAGAAGGAGAGAGATTTTTTTGTTCACTTATTCATGCATTCTTTGGATGATTCCTGTAAGTACCTTGACTAGAGATCAAACCCACAACCTTGGCTGTGTTTCACTAGACCCCAGCAGGTGGCCTGTAGGATTACCAACACATTCTTGGGATCACCATGGGAATGAAAGTCCTCATGCCCCTACTAGTAAAAGACTAACCAGTTGGATTATGGGCTGTAGATTTTAGGGATATATTTGGCCTACTTCACAGTTTTTTAAGAAGGTAGATAAGATCACATATTTAAAAATTTGATCTTTTATTTCTTTTCTTTACAATTTTAGTAATGCGCTGTGAAATAATTTTTCTTACATCTTACATTCAAGAAAGGCCTTTGTCATATTTGGCTAAATAATGAAATGCTTAATCCAGCGGGCAGCCCACTTAAAGCAGAAAGCTGTCTGATGAAATCTTACTACATTTGTTTTTGCACTGGGTCTCTTAGAACTTCTCAGACAATACTTGGTACTCTTAACATCTTCTAAAATCAGTATTACCAAGATAAATTTTAAAGGGAGCACAGACAAGAAAGCAATAGTATGGTTTTTTTAATCAATATTATTTAACAATCAATTGAAATAAGAGGGATTTGTTTTTTACTGAATAGAAAGTTGATTGGGGCCCTAGCTGCTTTGGCTCAGTGGATAGAGTGTCAGCCTGTGGACTGAAGGGTCCCAGGTTCGATTCCGGCCAAGGGCACATGCCCTAGTTGTGGGCTCGATCCCCAGTGGGGGCGTACGGGAGGCAGCCAATCAATGATTCTCTCTCATCATTGATGTTTCTCTCTCCCCCTCTCCCTTCCTCTCTGAAATCAATAAAGAAATATATTAAAGCCCTAGCCGGTTTGGCTCAGTGGATAGAGCGTCGGCCTGCGGACTCAAGGGTCCCAGGTTCGATTCCGGCCAAGGGTATGTGCCTTGGTTGTGGGCACGTAGCCAGTAGGGAGTATGCGGGAGGCAGCTGATCAGTGTTTCTCTCTCAGTGATGTTTCTAGCTCTCTATCCCTCTCCCTTCCTCTCTGTGGAAAATCAATAAAATATATTTTTTTTAAAAAAGAAATATATTAAAAAAAAAGAAAGTTGATTGGGTTTTATTAGCTTTTTTGTTTTGACTAATAATGCTTTTTATTTCTAATAGTTCTCTTTTCATAGATATTTTGATTCTATAAAAATGAAACTTTTTAACCAAATCACATTTTCTCTGCACACTTTTACTTAGTAATAGTGAATTCCCTGGTAGAAAATTTTTTTTTCTCCTAAGCAAGATCCAATCTGTTGTTAATATCACCATGTCAACTAGAAGAAAAGGAAATTTAATATGAGTGTAAAGAGAAAACATTGGCATATGATTTTTTAAAGTCTCTGAAGTTTAACATTTAACTTCTATGTCAGAAATCAAACAAAAAATTTATCCATTTTTTCCTCTATCTTTCATGTTGTATTTCAGTGTTTTAAAGAATATTTGGGGGTTTGAATAGGACGGTGTTATCCATATAATCTAATCATTCTTTGGGAGGGGCATGGCTATTAGCTTGTCTATGCTAATTTGGAGTTGAGTAAGCTGGTGAGTGAGTGTGTGTGTGTGTGTGTGTGTGTGTGTGTGTGTGTGTGTGTGTATGTGTTCATTTCTAATGGAGCCATTCTCCTCTCTCTTAGTGTTTAGTGAGCTGTCAGGTTGGTACTTAACTGCTTTGCTCTTTCGAGTTACTCACAGGCTGGAAAGGAACGCTTTTAACAAGTTAGTATGGGGCCCTCCAGACCTCTCCTTAGCCAGCTTTATCTGCATCCGATATACCCTTTTTGTAGCCCTGCAAGGAAAGGAGTTGAAGGAGTGAGAGAGAATGCCTGTGTGTGCATGAGTGTGTTCGAGTGTGTGCGTGTGCACGTGTGCACAGCAGTCTGTCAATGTGCATTATAAGGTTTCCCAAGCACATGGAATGAGATCTTTCCCAGGGAGACTCTTTTGTCAGGGTCAGCACACATGGGAAAAGCATTTCTGTGCTTAGCCTCGTAACTGAGATTGTTTTTTGTTTTATGGGGTCAGGAGGAATTTCAATCATGAGACATGGTAGTGCTCTGCCTCTGCATTTACCTGCCCTTTCTTTTTGAACTCTCGCAGGTGGCAGTACCTGTCCAAAGATCACTATCATTCCACCCTTTTTGAAAAGCAGCACAACTGCACTGATTGATCAGAATGTATCTGATGAAGAGGCTCAGGGAATAAATGGAAAAACGCCAGCAAAACACTCAGCTGCAAGTCCAAAGCCACAAGGTACGTTGATCGGGGGTTCTTGGCATAGGTTGGGTACTTTGTTCATCAGTGAAGGCAACCCAGAAGAATGGTGACCACTAAGGAAGAGTTTTAAGCTACAAATGGGAGGAATTGAGTGCATTTATTGTTTTCAGGAGAAAAGTCAGTCGGAGAACCCTGTCGGACAGAGTTGGGTATTTCCTCTGCTCCTAAAACACCTTATACATTTCTCTGTCATAGTTCTTTTCATGTTTCGGAAATAGTTTATGTGTCCCCTTTAAGGGACAGAGGTCTGTTAATGCATTATGCCTGACTTAACCTAACTTACTGTTTGCGTAATACATGTGTGACAAAGGAATGTGTGTTTAGAAGTACTGTCAGCAGTTCTTATGACCTGCTAAATGTCAGAGGATCTGTGAAACAGATCATTCTAAAACAGTGCTTAACGTACTGAGTAAGAAGGTGCTTTTACAATATTAAGGAGCTTGGGCTTGAAAAACCTTCTTAATAAAGTCATCCGTAGAAAATAAAAATAAATGGTTCAAGGAAGGAGTAGCCAGCAAGTAGTAAAACAATTATAATGGTGATTTTGTTCAGTACCATTTCTTTTTACAATAAATCTCTAACTGGATGTTAACTTTGAAAAGCACCAAATTATAATTTTGAAGATAGTAACGCCCTTTGAAATGTAATGTAAAGCTAAAGCTCCATTATGGTTTAATGTGTAGTTTCTTCCTAACAAATTTTTATTTATTCTGAATGCTCAACATTCAGCCAAGAAACAAACTGGGCATTTGTAGAATTACTATACTTTGGAAAAATCAATTTGTATTTGGTTTATTTTGTATTTACTTTGGTCTCTTTCCTGTTTTTGCAAAGGAATAAAGTGTTATAGAGAATGCATTATAAAAGAGTTGGTGTTATTCTTGAAAGTTCTTCTGTTTTAAAGATTTCTTTTTTTTTTTTTATTGCTTAAAGTATTACAAAGGGTATTACATATGTGTCCATTTTATCCCCTCGCCCTAGACAGTCCCCTAGCCTCCCCTATCCCCCAGTGTCTTATGTCCACTGGTTATGCTTATATGCATGCATACAAGTCCTTTAGTTGATCTCTTACCCCCCTACCTCCTGCCCCCCCACCCTCCCCGGCCTTCCCGCTGCAGTTTGACAATCTGTTTGAGGCAGCTCTGCCTCTGTATCTATTATTGTTCAAAAGTTTATAATGGTCTCTATTATCCATGAATGAGTGAGATCATGTGGTATTTTTCCTTCATTGACTGGCTTATTTCACTTAGCATAATGCTCTCCAGTTCCATCCATGACGTTGCAAATGGTAAGAGTTCCTTCCTTTTTAGAGCAGCATAGTATTCCATCGTGAAGTGCCGGGAGCCGGTCCATCCTTGCTGTTTCAAAGGACCTGGCATATATGGCATACTGTTCTTAATATGTTTGCTCACCTTGGCACTATGTGTTTTAACCAAGGTCTCCTCTCTGAGAAAGGTTTCCCCAGGTAGGGATTTTCCCCTGAAGTTAGGGAGGGAATAAAACCCCTCAACTAAGTGCCAGGCGGGTAATTAATCACTTTAACTATGAACAATCATGCTTAAGCTACATAATCTTTACTCCCTGGAATGGAGATAAGAAACGCCCTAACCTTTGGAATAGAGATTGATAGGATTGGAATCAACTGGTATAAATACAGATGTAAGAAGACAGAACCAAGAGAGACAGAACCTAGGCACAGAACCTACACAGAACATTCTCTAGAGACAGAAGAACTTCGCTGGAGAGAACATGGCAAAAGATCCTGGACAGAAACTGGCCTCAGAACCTAGAGACAGAACCTAGCGAGAGAACATGGCAAAAGATCCTGGACTGAACCTGACTACAGAAATTGGCAAGAGAACCTGACTAGAACCTGGTGACTGAACCTGGCTGGAGAACCTGGAGAACCTAGCAAGAGAACATGGACACAGAACCTGGCTGGAGATCCTAACCAGAACTTCGCTGGAGTTCCAGACCAGAACTTGGCTGGAGATCCTGGCTGGAGATCCTGGCTAGGCTGCTGATCAACTGAACGCTGTCTCCATGTCATCTCTTCTTCGCCGACTCCGTCCACACCTTTGGGGACCCCTGGACCCGCTGGGGTTGGACCCCGGCAGTGTAGATGTACCACAGTTTTCTAATCCATTCATCTACTGATGGGCACTTAGGCTGTTTCCAGATCTTAGCTATGGTGAATTGTGCTGCTATGAACATAGGGGTGCATATATCCTTTCTGATTGGTGTTTCTGGTTTCTTGGGATATATTCCTAGAAGTGGGATCACAGGGTCAAATGGGAGTTCCATTTTCAGTTTTTTAAGGAAACTCCATACTGTCTTCCATAGTGGCTGCACCAGTCTGCATTCCCACCAGCAGTGCACAAGTGTTCCTTTTTCTCCACATCCTCTCCAGCACTTGTCGTTTGTTGATTTGTTGATGATAGCCACTCTGACAGGTGTGAGATGGTACCTCATTGTTATTTTGATTTGCATCTCTGGGATGATTAGTGACTGTTTTAAAGATTTCTGAAAGAGAATTTTAAAAAGGATTTAAAATTGAGTCTTCCACATTATGAGACATTTTTCTTTTGTTCTCACTACTAGGAGTATTGATGGTGGTATGAGTTATGGCTATACAGAAAGGAGAAAAAATTGGTGATTCAAATGAATAGTCTATTCATGTGTTTATAACCTTTTCCTTTGTCCATACTCATCCCTGTAACATTAATGTGAATACGAATGTAGCAATTTTTTACCATGATTTAATTAAGCCATTTATTTGCAAAGTACAAAATTTCATCTTGCTTATTAAACCTGAGCTGACAAAGATCAAACAGGGTAAGAATATAAAAAAAGAATATAATTTAATTTTATGTAATTGCCCAGATCAAACGCAAGAATTTCATTATTTATAAAGCCTTTTTTTGGAAGCTTCATTGCATTACTTCATTGTTTTTCATAGTTCACTGAGATAAATTACAGTAGTGTCCTTCCTGAGCTGTGTGCTGAAATAATCATATTCTTTAGGGAGACAACATTTAACCTTGCTTTTGCTGTTTGCAGTTATATGAAAGTCAGTGTACTGCTACTTCAGTACATATTTACTTCCTATTTTGAGTGTGGATTCATGCATACAATGTTACATAACTACCAATATAGTGATACTTTTAAGTATGAAGAGTACACTCTAACATGATAAAAAGTATAGTACAGTAAATATATAAACTAATAACAGTGTTTATTATCGAGTATTATGTACTGTACATAAATTGTATATGCTCTACTTCTGTGACTAGCAAGGTAGTAGGTTTGTTTATACCAGCATCACCTATGACAGCTACAGTCAGTAGGCAATAGGAATTTTTCAGCCCCATTATAATTTTAAAAGGGACCAGTCGAATATTGACTGAAACATTGTTATAGTTCATGACTGTACTCAATAAATTAAATAAGGACTTTATACTTCTTTTAAAAAATATTCTTTTCTTTAAAAAAAATATTCTTTTCTTTTCCCTTCTCAAATTCACATTTGTACAGGAGGAAACTAACACTTATCAGTCAAGATTCACTTTTATAATACATTACAAGTAAGGCATAACAAAACAATCTTTTTCCCAAAAAATAATGCACTGTACTTCATTGTTGTTTAATAAGTTGGAAAATAAAAAATGTTTTAAAAAATATATTTTTAACCTGGACAGATAGCTCAGTTGGTTAGAGCTTTGTCCCCATATGCCAAGGTTGTGGGTTTGATCTCAGGTCAGGGCACATACAAGAATCAACCGATTGAATGCATGAATAAGTGGAACAACAAATCAATGTTTCTCTCTTTCTCTTCCTCCCTCCCTTTCTCCTAGGTCTGTCTGTCTCTCTCTCTAAAATCAGTAAATTAGAAAAAAAAATTCTCTCTTGTTTTTGTCCCTTCCCTGGCCCCCCTTGTTAAAAGTTAAATCACACCTTCAACTCTGACATTTCACATTTCCCCATCCTTACTCTTTGTTCTCATTCATTACAAGCTGACCTATTATATATTTTCTTCATCCACAATGATTTTTTTCCTTGCCTTTTGCACTGCTGCATCCCCCATGCCTGCCACGTAGCATAGCAGATCTTCAGTAATACTTGTTGAATGAATCCCTGCTTTATCACCATGTTTCCTCCACTTTCTTTGTTTCTGCTATTTTTTGTTTACAACTTAGAATGTGTGCCCTATAGAGACCAATGTCCCTGAAGTGAGGATAAATCTTGGTATTATGAGGTCAGCTGCCAAATAGATTGGGCATCACTTATTGACGTGTCTACCAGTAAGCAGTGTTCCTCACCCTCTTGTGAAAGGAAGCTACTTTTTATTTCTCCAAATCCTTAAGAACATCTGGGGGACCAAGGCTGAGAAAGGAAGGGGATGCTAATGGCACTTCCTGTGCAGATGAAGGGATTATCACACCAACCCCTGTGTTTTCACTGTATTGTTATGAATGGTGAGGATGCTGAGGCTTCCGGATTTAAATTAGTCTTCTAATTTAATTGAAGACTCTTAGTCTAGATCGGTGGTCCTCAACGGGAGACAGTCCCCCCATTGGTATTGTCTGGAGACTTTTTTCCTGATACAACTTGTGGGAGTTGCTACTGGCTTTTGCTAAATAGAGACCAGAGATGCTGCTCAACATCCTATAAGAACATTTCAGTCCCCCTACCTCACCTTACCCCAAAGAATTGATCTAGCTCCTGAAAACAGCTCATAATTAAATCTTGTTTGTTTGTTTCTCATGTAGAACACTAATAAGATCATAGCTATAATTTATTATGATAAATTTTAAAAGAAGTCACAATATTAAATAACTTTATTAGTGGTGTTTATGTAGTAATGTGTCTAGAACAACATCAGGTTTATGTTTATTAATTACCAATAAGTAAATATTTTTTAAGAATTATAGTTTTTAAAAGGATAAAAGAGCCAAACTTTAGATTAGAGATTAGAT